GGCCTCACCAGGGCAGTGTTTGGATGCCTGGCTTCAAGGGCAAAGGCAGGCAGGAATCAGTATACTGAAAAGGTGTAGGAAGAACTGCACAGGGAAAGCTAAACCACGAAGGCCTGTCTCCGTTTTCAGGCCCCACTTCCATTTGATGGTGCGAAGAAGAGGGAACTGGCAGAAGGCTGACATGGTTGGAGCAGAGGATTAGGCAAGTGGTCTCTGGGGTGGACCACTGTCTGGGTGTCAAGATACATTTAAGCAAGGCCAAAGGAAAGGATGACTGCAGTGATTGAGAGGAGAGCCAGGCAGTGCTTAGGTATTAGAAAGAATAGGAAATGCTTTATCATGGAGGTGTCACAGATAATGAATCTGCCTGATGTAGATGTGGCTGGCCTGGGAGAAGCTACAGAGGGAAATCTGCATTTGGTGATCCACGGGTTGTTGGTCCACCAAACAGGTAAGATGTCGTAGTGCCCTCAGTGATAAAGAAATCACATGGAAGAGGGATATCACAGGAAGGAAAACAAAGAGCTTTATTTTAAGCCATATTGGGCTTGCATTGTCAACTCTACCAGCATCTTTCTGCCAGTCTTGTGAAGATCTGTTCAGAAACTTTGAAGAACATGTGCAGACAGAACAGACATTTACCAGTGCTCAGCACAAAGATGTTAGCTGGATCTGTGTGTTAATGCAGACTGAAATCATTCAAAATAGGAGGTGGAGAAAGAAGAGAGGGGGACCAAGGAAAGAGCTTTGTAGGGAACCTTAAGAGCTAGCTGGGAGCAGATTGGGAAAGCTGCATGTCCCTTGCGTGCTGTTTTCAAAGTAGCCTTTGGATGAGCAGGAAAGAATGAGGAGAGGCTCAAACCATCAGTGTTGCCAACAGCTGCTGAGGAAGAGCTAGACCTGAGAGCTGGCTGGGAAGACAGAGTTAAAGAAGGGGGGAACGTGAGCTGCAGCAGGTTTGGGGTGAGGCTGGAGGGGAGGATCTCCCAACAGCGTTGGTAATGGAAACAGTTAGAGATGAGGTTTAGGATGAGAGAAGACTGAGTGTGGCAGGATCTGGAGACTGTTGCTAGGAATGAGCTGTTGAGTATGTGGCTGTGAAGTCTATGGAAAAAAAGAGTTACTTTTTTGATAGATATTTAGGATACAAGAAGTATGACAGTACCTTTCTTTGTTCTCTTGCTTTTATAAGTATGTCATCTAAAAACTTGGCTTCTGTTCTGTGGTTGTTTAGGGTCTGCCCTTTGTGACATGTTTTGCACAATGTAACTTTCAAAATCTTCCTCCTGTTTATTACTACCCCCGTCCTTTTTTTTCTTCCAAATGTCATCTATTTCATTTGAGAATTGTACCCTGGGGTGCCTCCATTATGTATGAACGTGGAGTATTTGGGATGCGCTGCTCACAAGAGCTTTCAATTTGTCATTTGAGCTTTGAATATGAGCAGAATCACCAAGACTTTAGTTTCTGGGGCACTCTTAAACGTGCAGTCAGGATGCAGCTTTTGTTCCTAAGCGCTCAGTCTTTTGCTCAGTTTCCAGTGAGACCTTACGAACCTTCCACATGACTTTTCTGTAGAGTAAATTGCCAGCACAGAGCAAGGAAATCCCTGTTGGCTTGTAGCACGGATGCATGCTCTGAGACCTTCCTACTTCTCTCCAGCAGTCTGCCTTTGTAGCCAAACAGACTTGGTTTGGGTTTCTGAGTGACAGGTGATTGACTTGCCTCACCTCTCATCTGTCAACATGTGAAATCTGCTCAGAAATGTGATGTCTTTTCTAATGGCCTCTGTGTAGGAAAACGGTCTTTCCCAACCAGTTTGCACTGTTTTTCTTGTTTTGGAAGAGCTCAGCACAGTCTTCACCCATACCCTGTTGCTCGGGCGTTCAGGCACATTGACTGAGACCTACTTTTGAGTTTGTGATGGGAGGAGGCAGAAGCAGTTGAAGGTGGAAGGAAAGATGAGCCAGAGACTGTGAAGGTCTTTTCTGTCAGGCTTTTCAAAGGAAGAGGCTGTGAGAACACTGCATGGAGACTGAAGGCAGAAGTGAGGAGGGTTTGAGGGATGAGTTAAACAGTGTGAGAAGAGAGAGCTGGTATTGTGCACAGGGATTAGAACATTGGCTTGAAAGTATCTGGTGCAGTAGGGCTGCAGTCGGTAGAGCAACGGCAGAACTGAACGTGTAGCTGTTCTGATAAGAAAAAAATAATTGAGGTAAGTAAGTAAGTATATAATATATATAAGCTCCGTTCCTGTCCCAGCACTGCAGGGTAAAGAGCTTCAGCCTGTAGTCACCTCCTAAGACAGATGACGTCGCATCTATAGAAGTTATCCCGTTTGGTGCTGTAGATCGAATGGCTCAGCAGCCTCTGGAAAAAGATGCACAGTAGAACTGATCTCTGCAGATATTCGAGAAGCATTGCTTTGGCTGTCACCCGCAGAAGCAGAGGATGTTGCTGCCAACATCTCCATCTGTTGTCCAGCAGCAGTCGTCGAGCCTGTACTTCTGATGACGTTTTGCTGTTGGAGCACGTGGGGAGGGCACAAAGCTCTAACGCTGTCTCAGGGCAAACCAGAAGCTCTGGTCAATGGTTTGACAAACATTTTGGGGGAGCAGCTTCTGACTGTGCCTGTGAAGGCCTTGCAGGCACTTTCTGTGCTTTTTCTGCAGACTGCTAACTGTTAAATACCACTTCTAATGCACTGCAGAATGGGGGGGCAGGGAAAGCTGTGGGCTTCAGTGGGCAGGATCTTAGTGATTTGAAGTAGAATGAAATAAGCTGGATGAGAGGATGGGGAGACAGAAGATGAAGGCCATATGGGATCCTAGGCACTTGCAAGGATATTTGAAGCTATGCCTTTGCCAATTGTCTGTACCCAGCCGCGGTTTCACAGCAGCCTTTACGCCTGCCAACATTATGCTGCTGTCATGGAGCTGAGCATGATGAAGATTTGAAAGATGCTTCTCCGAAAGAAGAAAAATTATGCCAGGAACTGAGGCTGTGCTTGGGTAGGCAAGGAAATGCTCAAGGAGAGAGAAGGGGGATATATTTAACGCTGGAGGATGAGGAGGGAAGGTTCGGCAGTGGGTATGGATGTCTGAGTGAAGGACACTGGGGGGGCGAACAGAGCAAGGGGGGATGACAATCACGAGGTGGCCATTACAAGGACCCTCGAGGCGCAATGGAAAGGTGCCAAGTGCACAAGGAACTCAGCTAACAAAACCTATGGATTATGTAGCATCCTAGCAGGAAAATAGTGGTCCCTGAGTGGACAGTTGCGTGGTGGGAATGGTCTTTAAAGCAGCTGCTCGCAGACCCAAACCAGCCCACAGTGAGGGACCGGCTGGAGCACCAGCAGTGCCAGCAGACTGTCTCATCCCTTGGAAGCGTGGTACTCTGCAGGGAACACGGAGTGAGCCTGGAGCAGGAGAGACTGTTGGTTGGCTAAGACTTGCTGCAGTAGGGGAGGGAAGGTGTAGGACACTGTCTGAGGTTTGGAGATGCCTGCTTTGTTTCAGCTCAGCTGCTAATCCAAGGTCGAAACGAATCCGTCTGCATCGTCTGTCTCCGCTGCCTGATCTGTAGGTTTTAAGGGCTTGATGTGTAGTCTCTGTGCTGCCATACCAGTAACTTGATCTCAGTTTTGATGCCAATAATCATGAAATACCTTTGCTGTAAATTTGAATCAATCTTCCCTTTGAATGCATTCCACTGTTTAGCTGCTCTCTGGAGCCCTCATTAATAACCTAAATGACTTATCATAATTAGCTAGTCCTCAGCCTTAGCATTGGGAAAAAGCACAAATTTGACAGCTTTCAAAAGTGAGTGGAGCATGATCGAGGATTGTACAAGCATTCCTGCCTTTGTCCTCATCTACAAACTGTTTCTATCAAAAACGATGAAGGTCAGATGCCTGGTTGATTTTGATAGGTGTTCATCTTTGGTGAAAGTTACGCTTGTAAAACACTGTCAGCAAAGTAAAAGCGAAGCCTTGTGTACAAAGGAGGGGCAATCTGCTTTCTTCCTCTGCCTGACAATGCAGAAGACTCCTCTTGTAGAGGGATCACTTGCAGGAATGAAGGAATAGCTTTGCTTCAGTGCTCTTTCAGCTGGTGGGTATACGAGCTGGGCTGTGTTCGGTTAGTTATAGTCACATTACTAAGGGATACGTGTTCCTGCACTCTGACACAAACATGTAAGTCCACCTACAGATGGTGGTGACAGCTCTTTCGAAAGGCACAGCGTTGTGGACTGCAGGGTAGCAGGACGCATGCTAAAGCTACCGCAGCCTGCTACGAACGAGCCAGGAGTTTCCCTCTTAACAGCAGCGTATTGCGCTGTACCCTGCTTCCTGGTGGAGTCTGGGTTGGTGGGTTGTCTCCAAGTCATGATCAGAGCAAAGGGTCTAAAAATCAGCACTGTGCCTGGGGAGTTTGATGAGGATGTTCTGGCCGGTTGGCTACGTGTATCGCTGGTTCCTCTCATTTATGGGGGTGCACACGCACTTGCGTCGCAGCCTAGCAGTTGCTGCCAACAGAAATAAATCTGAACATTACTGCAGTGGAGATAATTGGCCATTTTCTTCCAGTCGTCTTTCAGGGGCCTTTTTTTGAAACTGAAGTTTCCATGCTCTCCTTCTGCTGGCAGCGTTAAAGCCTGTGCAGATTCAGGGCAACACATAATCTCAGTTATGACTTGAGTATTTTCCTGCCAAGCAAACGATCTTCAAACTGCACAACAGTGACAAGAACCTCAGGGAGCCCTTAAGGTGAGGCAAAGGATGCTGTGTTTATCAGTAGATGTGCCAGCTAACCTGAGGTGTTTTAAAGCAACAGCCCCTTGAAAGGGGCTTTAGAAATTAGCAGCTTATAAAAAGTATCTGCTCCCTTGATTCTCAGCTTGTCTCCAGTTGAGCTGAGCAGGTATGTTGGCAATTGCATCTGCTCCCTCTGGGTTCCTTATAACCTGCTGACTTTTCTTCCCGTTTCTTCTTTAAGATTTATGTCCATCTCAAAGAAGGGAGTGGTGCTGATGGGCTGGATGCTTTGAAGAACAAACCGCAGCTCCACAGTATGGTGGCCAAAAGCCTCTGTCAGAACGCCTCTGGGAAGAACTACATCATCTTCACTGGCCCAAGCATCACCAGCCTGAATCTTTTTGAAGAATTTGAGAAGCAAGGTTTGTATCGGGTGACTCACTGGGTTTTAATGATGACAGACCTATGGGCCCTCCTGCCACTGAATTAAAAAAACTCCCAAAAAGCTTCACTGAGATTTCAATTCCTTGTATAGGTAAGTAGGTTGACTCTAAGAGAAGATCTCATTCATGAAAAGGTACTATGCAGAGGACTGTCTAAGTTTCTCTTTAACTCTTCCTCTTTAGATCTTTCTAAAGTTCACAATGAGGATCTAAAAACTTTTTTAATAAGGGTATTTAAAGCTCTTGCCTTTGTTCTTTGCCTTAGAAATGTGAAGTCTAATCTCCTGTATGGCCTGGGGGACTTTTCAAGGGATTTCTTAGCTGCCTGTGATTTTTCTGTTCCCCTTGTGAAAGACTAGGGATGCGATGAATCCTTAAAGGTGTGCCTTAGAAGTCCTTGCTGGTTTAATATCTGTTGAAGATGTAACTTCTCTAGATGACATTTTGTGCCATTACAGAAGTCCTAGCATGGTTCATTTTTGTGCTGGTATAAACGTGCCTTGGAAGGAGAGGTTTTAGTTCTGAAAGCATAATAAACTCTACATTTGCAAAAGCACGCTTGCCAGCAGAATGTCCATCGATCTGGCAGTGTCGCTCTCCCAGCCAGTTTCTTGCTAATGCGGAGAGGAATCCCAGGTCATCCCCTCTGTCTGGCGTCCCCTCACCTTGGATGTGGAAAAGCCACATGTCACCTGATTTTCAGAAATGCTGAGAACTGATCACTCCCGTTGAATTGGAGGCTTCTGCACTCTGTCAGTCAGTTATAAGTCATTGCAGCGTAACTCTCGGCTCGCTCTTTGGTCAGCACAGCCTTTCAGAGTCGGTGTGGTGGGTACAGTAGATCCTTCCTAGCAGCAAGACTGGAGGCTGCCTTTACACGTCACGTAGGAAGTGGCTGCGGGGCCGTTTCCCTTTTGAACACACCGCTGACAATAGAGTTTTGCTTTTGGCATGTTTCCCATTGCAGAAAATTAAACCCGCCTGGGGCGTTACGTTAATGAAACGTGGCCCAGAGCGGAGGGAAAGACTGGGAATTGAGACAATATCTTCATTCTCATTTAAAATGCGAATGCCAGTGAGCTGCACCAGTGCTGTAGCTGGGCACGTCAGACTGTACTGGCACGGAGGGCTGTCTCTGTTGAGCTCCGCACAGGACGTAGCTCCTGCATTATTTTAGGTGAGCAGGAAGCTCGCAGAGTACAGTGGAATACCGCCATATTCTCACAAAATAAGCTATGGTTTCCCCAGTGCTGCCAACAGCCAAATGGGAAAGAAGTCAAGCATATTTATAGTGCACTGGAATTTTTCCTCTGAGCAGAGACTGTTCTTTAGTAAATGAGAGTTTTCACGGCTGACTATAAGCATTACGTTTTGAAGACTACCAAAGCAATGATCAAAATATGTGTTCAAGAAATGTAAAGGATAACCAACATAATCCTAGTACCTGAGTTATGTCGGGTTTAAATGTAAAGACTGACAGACAAAAATCTGACTACTGAGGCACACGCTTTATGCTCAGCTGGGGAAGGATAAAGGCAATACGGCATGACTCAATTTGTCCATAACCACAGTGACCAGCATGGTTACTAAACCAGATGAGTGTTTATGACTTACAGGTAATTTAAATTGTTCACTGGGGTGAATTATGCATGGGCTTTGCACTGAACAGATCATTCAAATTAACAGTTTCTAACAGGTAGCAGATTCAGTAATGTTTTTTTAACACATGTAATTGACTATCTGATCATAAAATCGTAGAATGGTTTGGGTTGGGAGGGACCTTAAAGTTCATCTCATTCCCACACCCCTGCCATGGGCAGAGACACCTTCCACCAGCCCAGGGTGCACAAAGCCCTGTCCAACCTGGCCTTCAACCCTGCCAGGGAGGGGTCAGCCACAGCTTCTCTGGGCAACCTGGGCCAGTGCCTCACAACCTTCATAGCGAAGAATTTCTTCCTTATATCTAATCTAAATCTCCCCTCTTTCAGCTTGAAGCCATTACCCGTCGTCCTGTCACTCCATGCCCTTGTACAAAGCCCCTCTCCAGCTTTCTTGTAGGCACCTTCAGGTTCTAATATGCTAATGCTATGCTGCAATTTCAGTTTGGTTCTTGGTTTGTTATATGGCTCCATGAGACTTTTTATGATATTTGACAGCTGATTCCAAGATTAAATTTCTGATCTGGTACATGCTATCACCTTCCTAAGGGGTGAAGCTATGGAGTGGACCGGGGGCGGACACTAAGATAGCAGATTTATTGGCTTTGCAAGACAGCATGGCACTCCTGTGTAAAGAAGGTCACGGGGAGAGTGTGAATGCTTCTGTTTAATAAGGCTGTGGGATTGCCTGCATTTGCCATGGGGCACCGGGGACTAGCTCACAGGTTTGGCAGCAGGGTGGTGAACTGGAAGGTCTGTGAGACACAGGGAGAGGTGAGATGCTGGAGATGTCAAGCAGTGATGAAGTCAGTAAGAGGTAAGCCCTGGGGAGACGGTGCTTACTGAGTCTACTGCAAAGCAGCTAATGTATTGCCGGCACCTGCTGGGATCCTGCTGCTTCTGAGGAGAGGCAGGCAGAGAAGGACTCAGCAGAGAGATCTCCTAATGTGTTACACAGTCACCCTCAGCAATGCTTTTTTGGTGTGTGGCCAACTAGAGCTGAACAGAGCCCCACCATGTCCAAGAAGTCTCAAAAAGCCTGTTGAAGAGCATCTGTGCTCAAGTGCTCATGGCAGTTCAGGACCCATTCTTAAACTGACAAATTTACTTTTCCTGTTCAAGAAAATCTAGTTTCTGGGCTAGAGCAGGATCAGTGGTAGAAAGATCCCACTGAGAACTGAATACAAAAAGAAATTGGTATTTATCTTAACTACTTCATGTCGTTTGGGTTTTTTTGTAACTATCAACAGAGAAACGGGGAAATTTAGAGAAGGTAATGCTTGGAAACAATAACTATTTTGGGAACCTAAAGTGACATTTAAGGAAGCTAAAGGAAATTCTGGAAAATCTAGAAAGAGACACCCACCAAAAATTTGTCAGTTCCTCTGAAAATTCTTGGTGCAAAGGACCTGGGGGTCTTGGTAGCCAGTGAGTTGGACATGAGTCAGCAGCACGCCTTGGCAGCAAAGAAGGTCAACACTGTCCGGGGCTGTGTTAACAGGAGAGCAGCCTGCAGATCAGAGGACATGATTATTGCATCCTACTCAGCACAGTTCCGGACAACACCCCCCAGTGCAGGAAAGGCCTTGATAAACTGGAGTAGGTTCAGC